GTATACTCAACGAAATTTATACTAACTGTACAACCGTTATTATGTATAACAATAACTATTTTTTTAAATGCGATTAAATAAAAAATATCTTTCAGCTAAATGTATAACAACTACGGACCATCGGAACATAGGTATGCTTACCTCGTGATAATAAAAACCGAAACTCAACGCAAAACGAAAAATACACCAATACCAATATGAGGATAGTTTTAATTGTATAGTGTACACCTCAATAAACGCCTGACTACCACAATACAAAAACCAACATGACCACAAAATTTCCCTGCGGTTGACCGCACTTAACCGACGTGTTTTTCATATAAGGTTTTCTTCGAAAACCGATTTCTCTTTATGTGCATCGTTTACGATTTTCAGTTAAATCTCTGGAGACATGTGTAACAGAGTATAACAGAATCAAATTGTAACTCATTCCGGCTTCGGAAAAAAACTTAAATAAAGTTTATATTTCTTAAGTAATAGTTTGTCTCCCTTGGTAAATATCCATACTAGCCATAACCTATGACATTACAAGGGTGACGTATGTCATGGACTATAGTCCATATCCTACTATATCTATTGGTTGAAAGCTAGTTAAGATAATTAAAATCCTCTTGTATTACTTAATATTCACTTTTGTTACTAATCTATTATAATAGCCCATAAGCAAAAACATGAGTTTACACGCATAACTAAGTCCACTAGTTAAACACAAAATAATTATTAGTAATTCGCAATTACTCATTATGGTTCATTAAATAAATAGTAAGTATTATAAAAATATTGCCCCTCAGGGGCGCACTAAGTTTTTAGTGCTACGGGCTTTGCGAACCCGGGGCCCCGAGCTACGGGCTGACTTTGATTAGTTGGCCCAAACCGGCCCTCCAGGTTTGGGGGTTAAGCGATGGACCAACAATCCATCCTTGTAAAAAAACCATATGTTGTGAATCTTCTAACAAAGCCTCGGAATGTGGATAATAATGGGATTTTATGTGGAACTCGGAACGGAAAACTTTTGGAGACTCGGTTTGGAACATGGAATATCAGAACTCTCTATAAAGCAGGAGCTTTAAAGAATATTGTGGAAGAAATTGAAAAATACAAAGTGCCAATAGTCGCAATACAAGAAATTCGTTGGCTAGGAAATGGTAATGTTCAGTCTAGTAACTCAACTATCTTTTTTAGTGGCAAAGAGACAGGCAAACATGAACAAGGAGTAGGTTTCGTAGTTAGAAACTCCATAATGTCAAGCATTAAACGTTTCATGCCAGTGAATGAACGTCTGTGCTACCTGCAAATGGCTGGATGGAATTTCGATGTATGTATAATTAACGTTTATGCCCCGACAGAGGATCAAGAGGAGGAAGTGAAAAATATTTTCTATGAGGATCTAGAGAGATTATTTGACTCTCTACCAAACAACTGCATCAAGATAATTGCTGGTGACCTGAATGCGCAGGTCGGTAAAGAACAATTTCTTAGACCAACAATAGGCCAAGAGAGGTGGCACCCAGTATCTAATGATAATGGGTTGAGATTAGTTGGCTTTGTAGAATCGAAAACCCTTATTATAAGCAGCACCTATTTCCCTAGAAAGAACATTCATAAGCACACGTGGACTGCCCCAGACGGTAAGACGAAAAGTCAAATCGACCATATAATTATTGACAAGCGACACCGAACAAGCATAAAAAAACGTCAGAAGCTTTAGGGGTGCGGATGGGGACACACACCACTTCTTAATGATAGCAAGCCTGTCGTTAAAACTGTCAACGATTTGGAGAAAAAAGCAACAACCTAATACAGCACATAAACTAGATAGAAGTAAATTAAGAGATCAAAAGGAAATCATGGAATACCAAAACAGAATAAAAGAAGGATTGAACAGCTTTAACATAATACAAGGAGAATTGAGTAATGTAATAGAGTGGACCCAAATAAAGGAATCACTAAATAAAGCATCAGAAACTCTCCGAGCTACCAAGGGAAAAAGTAAGAACCACTGGTTTGATAATGAGTGTCGAGAAGCGATAAAAAATCGAAAAGCAGCAAGAGTTAAAATGATACAAAATCCTTCGACTTCAAATTTACAGGAATATGCAGAACTTCACGCAAGGTCAAATAAAATAATTAGGCAAAAGAAAAGAGCTTCAGAAAAAAATGCCCTAAATGACATTGAGTCATATAAAAAGGACCCGAAAATGTTCTTTGAAAAATGTAAATCAATAAAAGAAGGCTTTAAATCTCGTACCTATTTTATGACTGATGACGATGACAACCTCATATCAGACCCCAAAATGATCATAGACAAGTTTCAAACATATTTTGAGAATCTATTAAACAATAAATCAACGATAACAAACAATACAGATGGATCTAGAGAACCGGCTGAGGATCAAATATATGTTACAGTGGAATCAGACGTGCCGGAACCTAGTTTGGAGGAGATTAAATCAATAGTGGAGTCACTGAAGAACAACAAAGCTCCAGGAGAGGACAACATAAATCCGGAATTACTCAAACTTACTGGGCGAGACCTCTTGGAAAACTTACACAAAACCATCTCAACTATATGGGAGCAAGAAAAACTAGAAAAGGGTTGGAACACGGCTATTATTTGCCCGATTTACAAAAAAAGGAGACCCCAAGAAAGTGGAAAATTACCGTGGCATGTCCCTTTTGGACACTGCTTACAAGGTCTTGTCAATAGCCATTTTACATAGACTTGAAAAATATTCAACAGAAATAATCGGTGAATACCAGTGTGGTTTCATAAAAGGAAAGTCCACTACTGACCATATATTCACCCACAGACAGGTTATGGAAAAGTATTATGAGTATGACAAAGACCTACACATGATTTTCATCGATTTCCAGCAAGCGATAGCATTATTAGAGACCGGCTATGGTCAGCACTTATACATTTCGGAATACCAAAGAAGTTGGTTATCTTAATAAAGTGTTGCAATTCTGACACGCTTTGCAAAGTGCGTTTTCTTGGAAAAACATCAAAGGAGTTTGAGGTCAGATGTGGATTGAAACAAGGGGACGCGCTATCTCCCGCTCTCTTCAATCTAGCACTTGAAAAAGTCGTAAGAGATATGCAGGAAGACCGAGAAATGGAAGTACTGGGGCGCTCAACTCTCTTAGCATATGCTGATGACATTGTATTATTTGGAGAATCGAAAACGGAATTAGAAGGGACAGCACGAAAGCTCATACTGACAAGTAAAAAGATGGGCCTTAAAATAAATGAAAATAAAACTAAGTATATGCTAATGAGTAGACGACCTACTCCGTTACAAAATGTGAGCATTGATCATTTCTCTTTTGAACAAGTCGAACATTTTAAGTACTTAGGCGCTAATATAAACCATAAAAATAATATGCATAACGAGATTAAGTCCAGGATAAGTGCAGCAAACCGAGGATACCATGCAATGAGAAAAATGTTCACATCGAAACTGCTGTCTAGAGACACAAAGAAAAAACTATACATTGCCTACTTGCGCCCCATTGTCATGTACGGATGTGAGACATGGTCCACGACGCAGGGTGACGAGAATAACCTATTGGCTTTCGAAAGGAAAATACTTAGAAAAATATATGGGCCTATATTAAACCCCAATACTAGTGTATACGAGCGAAGAAAAAACGCTGACTGTAAACAGTCTGTTTAATACAGCCAATTTAAAAGATTTTCTGAGGTCGAAAAGGTTAGAGCTGGTCATGTGTGGCGTGCAGAGGGTGGACTGACAAGACAGGTACTCATCAACAAACCAAATAAAAAATGACCTGTAGGAAGGCCAAGATAACGGTGGTTGGACCGAGTTAAGGACGACCTGAAGAGATTACACAATGGAGCAAGTATTGAGGATGCAGAGGATCGAGAAGTTTGGAGAGCTTTGGTAGAAGCTGCAAAGCGCCTAAATGGCGCGTAAAGCAAAAAAAAAAAATAAAAATAAAAATATTGTATTTATTTTTTAAACTATATTATGAACATAAGAACACAAAAAAAAATACATAGTTTCAACTAAAATTATTGTTAATATAGGGGGTGCGTGTAACACAATAAATATATGGCTGGAATAACTAAAGAAACAGTTCGACCACCTAAATTTTAAGTTAAAATAACTACTTGATCCAATTATTTGTCCCTATATACCCATAATTATTTTAGTTGGTCTAGCTATGTATTTTTCCGCAAAGCCAACAAAATCAATACCAGCCTTAGTTTTATTATTTAGACAATAATAGTTATAATATTATTTAATAACCAAAATCCTAGTTTTAATTACACTTGGTGCTCATAAATTATAAAACTTACAAAAATCTCACCAGCATTTAAAGATCTGTCAGTAATTTATGTTGATTTGTAATACTAAACATATTATCACCAGAATCAGAATTATTAATAAACAAAAGTTAATTTTACTTAAAAATTCAGCCATTGTCTTCAACCTTTGTAATGTCCGCTGATTTTGTTTGACTTTAATTTTTTTTTATCTAAACAAATATAAAGCAACTCGCATAAACAAGTCTGGTATCGAGTTTAGACTGGGCAATTTATATGAGTACTTAATAGTAATAAATACCTTTTTTAAATCATATAATTATTTTAAGAAATATCTATTGGTTAGATATCTAACATTTCGCCGTTTTTAATAAAACTCCAATGGTACTAACCTACCGCAATTATTTTTGTTTTTAGTTGGCTAATATGTCTGTTGTATTGTAATGCTAATCCAGCTGTAATTATGGCTTATTTAGTTGAAAGGCGTAAAAGGCGTAAGGCACAGAACTAATTATCACGATTTCATTATCAGTATTTAATAATGTCAACTGACAGTCGGCAACCACTGTTGTTGAAATGAACAATAATTTTGCTGACTGAAAAACACTATGATACAGTTATGTTTATAACTGTATCATACAATTCATTATTGGATTATTCATGGCTGTTGTACGAGAAGTGATATCGACTAGCTGAAAATTATGTCTCAATGGCAACGGGTAAACGGTTCATACCAAACGATAATTCTCATTCATCTACGCGACACTCGTTTTGTCAGAAGGCATATTTTAATATTATGAATTCAGTTTGTTTTCGTTTGTTTCGGAAAACGCTTGCTTACAAAAAAAATCTTGTGGGATGTACAGTTTTAAAATATTGTCGTCACACGTTCGCAACTGAGTGCAAGAACACCGGCCATCGCAATGGCTTAGTGCTCGGTGTTTACGGAAACGAGTGTTCGTTTGAGTTATCCGAGGAAGCGAGGAATTTCGATGACAGACTGAGCGGCGCGCTAAGTAAATTGTTGGCCGCCAGTTCGATGCCGGTGGGCGATGCGCGCGTATTCAACAACTTGGACACAGACTTTATGAGTATAGCGTTGGCTAACGTCGGCAGCAAGGACGTCGGGTACGACTACAACGAGCAAATGGACATGGGAAAGGAGAACATCAGGCGGGCCATCGGCAAGGCTGTAGTGTTGCTGCAGGACGACCAACAGTGCGCCAAAATATTCGCCGACGGTCTGAACAGTCCGGAAACAGTGGCCGAGGCGGCCACACTGGCCGCGTGGAAGTTCGAAGCGTTGAAGTCGCCGGCCAACCAGGGAACGCATAGCACCATCGAGCCGTACAACGAAGGCGACAGCAAACTATTCATCCAAGGTGCGATTTTCGCCGACGCTCAAAACCTGTCCCGGCGGCTAACCGAAATCCCGGCCAATACACTGACGCCAACCTACTTTGCCAAAGAAACCATACAGGCGCTGGGTCCGTGTGGAATAACCGTGGACGTGCACGACCGCGACTGGTTGGAATCCAATGAGATGCACGGCATCCTACAGGCGTCAAAGGGATCTTGCGAGACACCTCTATTTGCTGTCATCGGCTACTGCGGCGCCGATAAAAACCAAAAGCCTCTAGCGTTTGTCGGCCACGCCACCACGTACGATACCGGCAGCGTTTGCGTACGCAGCTGCGACGACATGGCGAACAAGAAACGACACGTCACGTCCGGCGCCACGCTGGTAGGCCTCATGAAGGGCATTGCGCAACTCTGTTTACCCGTCAATGTGTACGCGTATATACCGCTGTTCGAGAGTGCCACGTCAGGTAACTCTATCAAAGCGTCGGACACATTCAAGGCTCTCAACGGAAAGTTCGTCAGCGTGGACAACACCAAGTGCATTAGCCGGTTGGCCGTAGCCGACGCGCTAACTTACGCATGCCGCACGAACCCGGAAGCCGTCATACACTTAAACGCGCTCAGCGACGCTACGCATAAGGTGTTTGGTGAACTAGCTGCGCCATTATTCACCAACAAGCTGGACACGTGGAAGCTATTGAGTTTAGCCGGTGCCATCACCGGTGACCGTGCGTGGATGTTGCCGTCATACGAACGAAAAGTCAAGATGATCACCGAAGAAATTGCCGATGTGGCCGTGTTAGGTGAAGGTGGCATGGACACCGACGACCTGGGTAAGAGCGCGGCTTATGCGGCCCAATTCCTGGTCGACCCCACAATGGAATTCTCTCACATAGACATAGGTGGCGTGTACCGCAACTCTGACGAGGTGACATATCCTTACCTTAGAACCGCATTTGCCACCGGCCGCTTCACCAGAACTCTAATGCAAATGGTCTATCTGAGGGTATGTCCGCAAGAAACACCCATGGTCTCCTCTCAGAGTAAAAAAGTGAAGTAATAATGACGCCTACAGTCGTTAATTGAATTTTTTTCATTTTTATTTTTTCTATATGTCTGGTATGTTTATAAATAATAAAGTATGTATTTCCTAGGGTAACATAGAATTATAATATTATGAACTATAATACGATTTGTATAGTCACTGTCAGAAGATTTACAGTAAATTCGGACATAAAATCAAAGTCTTTAATGTTTCGGGTTTTTGTCTTTTTTAATTTCGGTGGTCATATAAACGTTTCATATAAAATCTTTTTTATAAATATTAAATTATCAATATGCCTTATACAAAAACTCAAAAAGTAAATATTAAAAGCTACTCTAGAAAATATTTTTACTTGAAATACTCGAAACTAAATTTATCATTAAATGTAAAAATACCACTATTGAAGTTTTAATTAAAAATACGTAGGATTAAAAAGAAATCTAAAAAGAATTCAACAATATTTGTAGATTTCTATTTATAAGAATTTAAGACTATAGTAAAAACAAAAGGACACAACTTTGGCAAAAATAAATGTTAGTGCAAATTCCTGATATATATGCTTTAAGGTACTAGTTTATAGAAATATTTTTACTGACCAAAATACTTAATATTAATATTAAAATATTAATTTTGACATTATCGTAATGATGAATACTATCTAACTTTTGACAACACATAACAAACACGACCCCAAAAATACTGGGAATCGTAAAATACATATTTTTTTGCTTTGTCTCTAAATCAAAATTAAATGAACTTGTATTTTTAATGGACTTACCGCGATACTTTTTAAGACAATTTGTTTTAGCATATTTTATCATATTAAAAGTCTTTAAAATATTTGAGAATATATTATCGACCATTTCACCGATCAGCATTAGACGGATTCATTTAGGAAAACAATTTTCAAAATATATTATGCAAATCTATAGCACTTCATAATCATTGTTTAAAGCTTCCAATTTAAAAAAATGTACACAATGCGGTCGTCCCACTTACAAAAAAAATATTAATGAAAACTAGCAGATATATTAGTTTAAAGATATTACTCTTTTATCAGAAAAGATGAAGTTAGATAATATTGTTGAAACCTAGCCAATAGCGTTAAAGACTATTATGTTTTGGCAAATTGATCTACTGCGTAGAAAATAATGTTATCAGACGCCAATAACGTTATTATTCTATCTAATAACATTTTTTCCACGCTATAATATTAGCCTATATTGATGATACAACCCATTTCGGTAGTGTGCTCGCTATAGTCTAAATGGCAATCAGAACTTCTTGTTAACTTTTCGAGTTGCAATATAATTTGTGGTGCGGTATAGGGAATATCCACGAGGGAAACTCAAAGTGGTGTTATAGCCACAAGCACAAAAATTGTACAACACCACATAACAAGTTTAATATATGAAGTTATCACAGGAAATCTAGTCATAAAAAGGTTTTTGCAACAAGAACATCTATTTTATCATATGATTTTCTTGCTGAATCCTAATCTAGTTTTTAACTTTTCAAAACAAGTCCAGATTTTCTGTAATTATAATTATTATTATTTTGTTTTTGTTCCACTTATGTAAAGGCGTCAATACTGTAATGGCCTAAGACACTAAACATGCGAATATGTTTAGTAAGAGGTTAATTGTACTATATATACCTATTGTGCTGCACGATTAAAATAATATTAATATGTTACATATTTTGAAAATTGTTTTTTTTAAATGCTATAGCTTCTGTTACTTTGAAAGTTTATACTCTCATTCAATAGTTAATTGTGTTGGTATACGAATAACCACTTATCACACAAAAACGCGGCGGCCATCTTCAAGGGTATCAAGACTACACCACTATAATGTTATTTCTACAGATTATTATTATTTGTGTATATATATAACATACTATAACACTAAATAGGTCATCACAAAATGGCCGTCACTTTTTTGTTTACATTTAAAGTGACCTTACTGCTATCATCTATTTTGTGGTTATATGACGCAATAATATTTTATGTTCACGTTTCCTCCACTTTAAACATTTTTAAAAAGTTCCGTTTGTACATAAATTATGTTTTCTTTATATTTATTAGTATTATATATGTTTAACGGAATTCATAAATATTCCATAACATTTTTTACACCCTACCCAGTGCCGTCTTAAGGCATGGGCCCCCGAAATTTTAAGGGCCCCGAATTCACATAAATTACATTATTTACTAAATATCATAGTTTTATATTTTTTTTCTTAAAATGTTTTTAATATAAACCTCGAACGAAAAAATATTAAAATTAGCTTTGTATACCCAAAAATAATACAAATTGATCAATTTGTACACACGTACATTATTTTGCTAACATTTGCAGAATATTATCATGTTGACATTAATGAAAATTAATTAATTTTAGAATTTATACACTTAAAAGCGTATCTATCAGAACTTGAAATTTCTGAATTCATTATTTATAGTACATACAAATGTTTAAAATCAAATAGACTAGAAGAAACATTTCCTAACATAATAATATCTTTCAGAATTTTTTTATCAATGATGATTACCAACTGTAGTAGAGAACGTTAATTTTCTAAGTTAAATTTAATTAAAGAAGAGCTTAGAAGTACTATGAGCTATGAACGGTTAAACTCCTTTTCTATCTTTAATGAGTATTGAACATGAACTACTATCAAGTGTAGATTATGAAAATGTTATAGAAGAATTTGCGAATGAAAAAGCTAGGAAGAAACCATTAAAGGTATTTAATAATTGACAAATTTATATCAATAGAGTTTTGATGACAGTTATTTTAGTTTTTGTTTAATGAATTACATTTATTTTTTAACTCTAAAACATATTAATTTATGTATTTGTTGACCGTATATTTTGAAATTATAATAAACAATAACAAAAAAAGCCAGTACAGTGGGGTCGGGTCATAGTGGGGACGGAGAGGTCACAGGTCTACAGATTTTATTAAAACTGAAAGTGATAAAATCACTTTTTATTAAACGCTTCGATGCGAATCTGTGGATAGTATGTTCAAACTAGTTATAGTGGTTTAGAAGATATCGTGGGACCAGCAATAATGTACTTAAAATTTAATATTTAGTCTTGTGCAGGGTGGGTACGGTAAGGGTTGATCGTCTGTCTATAAAAATGTACTGTGATAGTTACCCATATATCGTAATTATACGATATACGACTATTTTTAAAAAAGTTATAGAGCATCGTAATTTTAAGTTGAAAAATGTGTACATTTTTTAAGTGGTTTTTTTTTATTTTGATGGGTAAGTGACTTTTTTTAATTTTTGACCCGGTTAAGTACCTAATAGGTATGATTTCTGATCTATAGAGTTGCTACACGAAGAAATCGGTTTAGCGGTTTACGAGATATCGTGGGTCCAGACACAAAAATAAAAATAAAAATAAAAAATAAAAACACATCATTGTAAAAACAATACCTTCTCAGCTCCGCATCGAAGCTAACAGTAAGTAATAGAAATTCAATCAAAAATACACTTTTTACTTAAAAATATAATATTTAATAAATAAATAATAATATATTATGTGTTAAAAAATGTATATATCATAATTAAGTATTATAAGGCCCCCGGAATATGTCGGGCCCGGGGCGCCTTTAAAACGTCTCTGACCCCACCGTTTACGACCCCGAATTTTCAGATTATAGATTACATGTATTCCAGTAATTCCAAATAATAATAACAAAACCCTAGAAAGTGATGTTACTTAAAATGTGTTCAAGCTAGATAAACTTAAGCTATGTAGAGAATAAATAAAAATTTTTTTCTCTTTGGCTTTTTCTGTGCTTTTCAGGGTTGGCAATTTCTAAATAATACATATTTGTGTAAGGATCTGAACACCGAAGAAGGCCATTTTTATATTTTCATCCGCGTTGTTTAAATAGAGTTAGCGGGTGTATGGTGAACGGCGTAATGTTTTCATGGAAATAAGTTATTGTTTAATCATTAGACAATTTTAGAGTTCCGGTTAGGCATTAGAATCTAATGCCTAACCGGAACTCTAAAATTGGAATCATTATTGCATACTAATCTATTCTCTGGTGCTTGGGTTCTTTTAGTGCATGAATAATATTAAACATATATTTTTTCTCATTCTTATGCCTTAAGCTAATATCTAATTTTGTTTTTCAAAAGTTAATATTTGATTTTTATGTTAAATCCAAAAAAATATTAATTTTAACAAATTACAAAAAATGTGTCTATATTACTACATGTCTGGATTTTTTTTTGACGAAACAAGTAACATTCCCACATATTAACTTTTCTGAAATGAAAAAATGCATTTTAAAATAAAACTGTTTTAACTAAATTGATTATAAGTTATATAAGTTTGAAAACTTAAGTTATGTCTATTTATAAATGTATACGAACTTTATTCAGACTATTTTGATTTAGCTACTGTTATTTATTTATTATAGAAAATTACTTTAATTCTTGATACCCTCAACATTTATAATTAACAAAAACATTTACTTATTTAATATTTACACCTTAATTAATATAATTCTGTAAATTTAGTTTAATTGTTAAGGTATATATTTACAATTTTATTTTAACTGTTTAAATTTGGTATAATATATCTAATACAATTATAATTGTATGAAATCATTAAGTATACCATTTTTTTAAACTCATCACAAATTATTTTGAAATGATGTATCTAAGACACATATTATAGTATTACGTATGTTTTATTACCCAAGTACATTTTTTCAATTATAATCAAACAAGTTTTTTATGTTACCGCCTAAATATTTTTTATTTATCCTAATATTCCATAAAAATGTTGACGTACCTACTATTAATAATAATTATTATCATAACAATGCTAATAATAATTAAAACAATTGCTATTTCGCAAATGAATTGTTATTAGTGTATTTGACGATAAACACCAACCAACAAATGTAGTTTTCCTTTACCCAAATCCCCATTTGAACGACTTCAACACAAACTGATATCCAAACTTGGCTCTAATCGCT